GCAAGGGTGGCGGAGGAGGTGATAGGAGAAGGAAAAGAAGGAAGATGAGGAAGAGGTGATAGTAATGTCGGGAGTCAATATGGGGGAGAAGTGTAGGAATAAAATGGAGAGAAATCAGAACATAAAGCAGTGAAGGAAAACTGTGAAAATTTACGATCTTCGAAAGTAAATATTTTTTTAAAACTTCAAGATCGATTTTTTGTAAATTTGATCAGCCTGCGATAGTCACTTTACGCGCCATTATATGTTTACATAGACAAACAGTCCTCTGATTTACAAAGCATTAACACAGGTTGTAGGTATCATTGGGAAAGAGAAGCGGAAGAATTTCTGAAAATGCTGAGTGCATCAAATTCATTCAACGTAGTACCTCGTGTTAGTTATCATCATTTGTAAGTTTGGTCCGGTTACTTTCGCCATTCTATAGACTTGAACTTGATATTGAGAATTTAAAGAATCTCGTATAAACTTGTTTTACTTTGATGGTAGTTATTATGAAAAAAATACATTTATTTGAACTTTCAAAATGATTAAGAAGTCAATTTTGAATTCGACATCGACTTTAATAATAGTTACCTTGTAAAGTCATTGCCATATCGAATGACTAAATATATGTTCCAAACTATAACTTTAATTTCTAAATTGATATTAGGAAGTCAGCGCTATATTTATTAATTTAATTTTTCCATATTACGAAAAAAAATCATTAATTTTGCTGCCTAACAAATGATTGTGATAAATTATTACCCGATCAATATTGGGTTACTTCAACTAGTAGAAAATAATCTACGAAATACAATAATTACAGATAAGAATTAATTTTCTGGCCTAGCCAATGTGATTGCAAAACAACGGTGTTCATAGATCTTTATTCGCCAATCTTAAAGAAATGTGTATCGTCGTGCATCTCTGCTCCACATGTGTGCCTAAAGATCATGATCTTGCTTTGACGTCACCCCGCTTTATCATCGTTAAAATGACAGGAAAACAAAAGGACGTCAAAGCAAGAAATATGTTGAAAAGGGTCTTAGTAAAATATGAAATGTAATGAGTACCTATTTTCCTCCGTAACATAGTTTAAGAAACTCGAGCAATATAAATAAATGAAATTTATTCTAACTGCTGGCCACGTTTCAGTTGTCAATGAAAGTTTTATTCGTCTTCATTGAGAAAGTAAATTCACTCAATTTATTTTACCGTATTTTCTTTCTCCGATCGCACACTTAAGAGGGCATCTTGTTTTCTGCCGGGCTGATAGCGTACAAAGACGAAAGACTGTGCTTTAGTAACAAGCCCATCCGCAGAGCTTGCTTTCATTTGGAGAAGCTTGGCAAGCCTGAAATATCGAAACAAGCCGAGCGTGAAGGGAGCCATCCGTGGACACAGCACGTCGCCGTCTCGGGGAATCCCGGACCTCCACAGGCAGGCAGACAAATTTGAGGCAACAATCCTCAATTATTGTGTGGCGTCGCCTCTAATCTCCGGTGACAATATTATCATGTCGCGCGACCTCATCGTTGTTGATACCAACATAGCAAACGCAAATACCCTCAAAGCTCCCGCTGCGATGGAAGGACTTACGGGGGTTGCAGAGCGACGCGGAAGGGGGCGGGGCAGGTGGAGAGGGATGGGGAGGGGGAGGGGGAGGGGGACCAAAGCAAACGAACGGAGTGAGAAGATGCGGGTGCGCAACGCAGACAGAAGATGTGTGAGGCGGCACAGGAGTGGAGCGAAAGCGAAATTTGTAGGAGAATGGGAAGGACTGGAGTAAAGAATTGGAGAAAAGTGCACACACTGAGAAACTGTCGAACTGATGTTACGAGGAAAGATGTGGGAAAATTAAGAAATGTGTGAATAATGTTTTAACAGTAAAAAGATAAAAAAAATTAAGTTATAGCTTGAAGAAGGAAACGAAAATAAAACAGGAGGGGAAGAGGCAATGGAGGAGTCAACAGTTAATGAACAAATAGCTGAAAGATGACGGTTCGAGTCCCGCCGCGAGCATGGTTAGTCCTTTCACCCTTCACCATCACCATATCAAGTCATCTTTATAGTGATCATAACGTTAAACTCAATAGTGGCCGCTAATGACCTAGTTAATGCGACATTAAAACACGAAATGAAGGTGGAATGGTAGGAATTGAGATAAGTAACTTTATTTTAGTTGTTTCATTAAACGTTTCTGTAACGTATACGTCATTAAAATTCAATAGACGACAAAGTGTAATAGATAAACAAAATATAAAACACAGAAATAGAGCAAAATCACTCAAGAAAGGGGGAACACCAGGTGCCCGATGAAAACGAAAGAAGAGAAATTGAGGAAAGGATTGGTGAGGAAGGGAACGGTGATAGAGACAGGGAAATAAAGAGAGAAAGAGGGCTTGAAAAAATAGGGATATATAAGGAGAAAGAGAAAAAGAATCTGGGAGACAAATATGGAGAATATACATTGGAAAGCAAGAAAGAAAGAACAGCTGGAAAGAAATATGGAGAGTACGAGAAAGAGATTGAGTAAGAAAAAGTTGCCGATATTCAAGATAGACGTTCCAGGGCAAACGTGACTCCGCAAAGGCTCGCGGGTGGCGTCTGTGACCGAGCACCAGCTAGATGGCGCTGGCGCTATGGCTGGCTCTCGAGGGCGGGGGAGGGGGAACAGAAAGGGCCGTGCACGAGGTCAGAGAGCCAGAAGACAATTTCTGCGGTAGCTCATTTCGCGCCGCCTAAGCCCACATAGCGCCCCGCACCTACACCAAATCACACTCCAGCTCCCACACCATTACCACCAACCCCCACCTCTCCTTCCGGCTTCTGCCTGCTTCTTTCCACCGCCTCGGACCCCGTCATTCCTCGCATCACTGTTCCCACATCAGCGCTTACACTCAACGCTGCAGCCACCCGCCGTCATCGCCATCCCCAACGGCACCAACCCCACCCGCACCACACCCGTCACCAACACCACCATCGTCACCGTCACTGCCTCCGTCACAGTCAAAAATTCAGAAAGAAAAGAAAATGAGACGTGCACCGTTTTTTCAGCATTCTTGTTCTACCTGAGGAAAAAACTAGGGGCTACAACGGCACATATTTTCTCGCACTATTTCTAAATTAGGTATATTGTAAAATTTAGAGAGATCACGAAAATGAGACCCTTTCCATTCTCTTAGTCTATCCGTGGCCAAAAAAATGGAGAAAAAAATTGCAGTGTATTTTGAGCGAAAAATGTAAAATTCTTTTTATGTTTCTTAATTACATGAATTTTACTCGTATTTTTGAAAAATTGAACATGTACTTATTTAAAGACGCATCTTAAAGGAACAGATTTTATTTAGGAAAATAGTCACTATCTTCAATATACTAGCTGTAGGAAGACGCCCCCGAAAATTGCACTTTACCAATTTTCAACAAATCTGAGATTTCAACGAATATGAGACCTGCACCGTTTCCTTAAACATTCTTTAGGATATCCAAAGATAAATTTGATAAAGAAATGGTGCAATTTTTTATTAGTTTCAAAATTTTTTTGAGACTTCATGCAAAGTATTATCAGAAATAAAAATATCCATTTGAAACTCCCAAAACCTCGTTTTCATTTAGATCGATTGAGCAATATCAATTTTGGAGAAAATCGTCTAAACGGTTTACGCGATAGCGTGGACAACAGACTTTTACCGTCAGTCAATTTTTTGGCGTCAAGAACCCACAAAGCATGGATTCTGGGTACGTCACGTCTTAGTGATTATTCTTCACAATAGGATTATTCTCTTTTTCGTTACCACGGCCTGGCATTAAGAGTTTTCTGCCGAAAATTTCCTGTTTTTCGACGCACGATTACATAACTTTCTCTTATTACGAAGTACCGTTACAAGAACGAGAAAGTAAAAGTCTCTATCATTGTTCCCCTTTCTTCCGTAACCCTTTCTTCCCTCTTTTACATAAAAAAAATAACTCATGAAAATCACTAACAGATCCTAGACTCATCCAACCCCAACTTCTCCGGTGAACGGAAGGGAGCTGAACGCATCTAACGTTATGTTTAACCAGTACTATTTGTAACCAATTGGGCAGTAGAGGGCTTCGGTCCAGACCGCCTGGAGATCGGCAACTAAGGCGACGGTGTATATCCACTTTACTTGCCAGCACGCCAGAGTTGCCGGCAGCAGACGCAGTGCGAAAGCCGATGTGCGCGCTCTGTTGGGCAATGCGCGCAGCATACACTGTTGGAGAAAACGCCGCGACCCAGCGCTGTGATGCCAGAAGAAACAACTGTCTTCGTTCTGCGAAAGAACGAGCGGGCAGCGGAATGGACGCCCTACTAACCCTCTGACAGTATTAGAGGTCTCTTTGAAGAGAAGCCACCGAAGGAAAGTGGAACGAAGAAATAATATAAAGTATTGAAACACTTGTTTAGTTGTCCCTTCTGCCTTGTGATTATGTTATTTTCAAGTTTTACATTCATTATGTTTTTAGCTCTTGATTACACACTATTGTAAAAGCCAAGAAACACATGATGGTTTCACTTCTATGTACACTTCATGTCTATAATATGTGAAAGAAAAAAGAGTATTAACAATTCGCTAGTAATTTCTGTATATTTTAATTGTGCAAACTTTCTTTCTTATAGTTATTTCGTGACGGTTTAAATTTATTATGAAACTATTTTTATTCAATGTATCAAAAACAATAAATAAATTAAATCATTTCATATCGAATTTTCACCGAAATTATTGGTAAAAATTGAAAATGCAAAAGGCTATAAACATTATTGTAGAAGAAATGAAACTTGTTAATAAATCCAATTCTCCCAATTTTAAATAAACAATGAATCGTATTTCGTTTATCTAAATTCAGCTCTGCAAAAGAATGCGTAACAATGTGCTTCTTGAAACGTTTTCTTGACATTAATTCATTAAACATATAAGCTGCATACGACACGACTTATTTCTTCCAAACAAAACGTTTAATAAGAATATTATTATTAATGTAACCGCCGTTTCAATAACATTTTCTTTTCTAAAAATATATCGTTGCGTATCCAGGAAGAAACAAGTTCACAATTTCGCCATCACTTCGATTACAAATTATTTTCAGAGTTCCCAATGCTATTGACGTGTTAAACATTCCTAGTCGTGCAGTAATGCATTATTTCCAATCTCATGCGTTATGTGTACCGTATTGCTGAATATAAAATATGATTCAATTTAGTAAATTATGTATTTTGGAATATTTTTAACCGTTTCCAATTAATTTGAAAAAGTGGTAATTGTTAATAATAGAAAACTGGTACATTTCTTCAGTTGAAAATTATAAAGGCGTATTATTCTACTTCAGTAGCAATATTGACGATATCATCAAGTCCCAAAGATTCACGTCGTAAAGAAGAGGACAGCGCTATCTACAAGCGGGGATGTGTAGTAGATCTGAAGCTGAGCGAGCATACAGCGCTCTCTATAACAGGAATGTGAAATACACTCCGTGTAGATGACGAAAAAAGACTGAAAGTAGATCCAGGAAATTACCATTCACATTACAATTCACTGGTGAAAGAGAGATATTTTACTGGGAAAATCTAGACGAGATAATGTTTTCCGTAAATAACAAAATGGAAGTTAAAGAAGTAAAGAGTTTAAAAGTCATTAGTGGTTTTTGAGAGAGTTGCTGAGTGAAATCACTAACTGTGTAATTAATGACCAGTCTTATTTCATGAAAATGTTTCATAGAATGTCTATAAAAGTACATCTAAGTATTAAAAAATATTACAAAAATTATTCTTCTAATTACTTTTAAGTGACAAATTATAGGTACTATAGGACACCCTAAAATACACTTTTTGATATTGATATAAAACCTAGTAATAATTTTTTAGTTATTAATAAATAATGCGGGGTG